ACCAATACTACTACATCTGGAGTGTGCCTGGGCCCATGCTGGGTATGTGATAGACTCAGAAGTGAGCCAGACCTGTCTAGTTGGGGCGACAAGCCCCATAAGTGCTCTGCCTGGAGGGGTGCTGATGCAGGAAGTAAAGAACCTCTGTGGAGGGGTGGCCTAGTCCAGTCCTAAATCAAGGGTAGAAGGCTGAGCGATCTGTGACTGACTCTCCTCAGTACTGTAATCTCATTAAGCCCAAAACTGTACTGAATCATGAATCAAGACACATCCATGTCTGGTCCTGACTCTGCCCTCACTGTGTGACCTTGAATCAGTCACTTGGCTTCTCTGGGCCTTACTTCCCTTCCTGTGAAATGAAGACACTGGATCATTTCTTCATTTTATAGGAACAATAAAATTCTGCATTGCCCCACAAATAGCAGGGTGGGACAAGTGTCACCAGAGAAGAGCAACTTGGAAATTCTCTAAGGATGTGGCTAAGAAAAGAGGGAGGGTCCATGGAAGCCTCTTTTTTGAAAAAAAAAAGAAAAAAAAAAAGAGATCAGGGAGTACAAGTGCAGTTTTGTTACATGGATATATTTTGTAGTGGTAAAGTCTGGGCTTTTAGTGCACCCATCACTCAAATAGTATACACTGTACCCAACAGGTAATTTTTGTTTTCTTGAGACAGAGTTTTGCCCTTGTTGACCAGGTTGGAGTGCAATGGCATGATCTTCGCTCACTGCAACCTCTGCCTCCCAGATTCAAGCGATTCTCCTGCCTCAGCCTCCCAAGGAGCTGGGATTACAGGGGCACACCGCCATGCCCAGCTAATTATTGTATGTTTAGTAGAGACGGGGCTTCACCATGTTGGCCAGGCTGGTCTTGAACCCCTGAACTCAGGTGATCTGCCCACCTCGGCCTCCCAGAGTGCTGGGATTACAGGCCCCACCCAATAGGTAATTTTTATCTCACACCCCCTCACCGTCCCACTTTTTGGAGTCTCCAGTGTTATTATTCCATTCTGCATGTCCACGTGTACCCAGTTTAGCTCCTGCTTATAAGTGAGAACATGGGTGTTTAGTGTACCCGTCACTTTCTGTCAGACTTTGTTTCTGAATTAGTTCACTTAGGATAACAGCCTCCAGTTCCCTTTATGTTGCTGAAAAAGATATGATTTCATTTTTTTCTAAGGCTGAGTAATATTCTGTGGGGTGTGTGTGTGTGTGTGTGTGTGTGTGTGTGTGTATATATATGTATGTGTGTGTATCACATTTTCTTTATCCAGCCATCCATTGATGGACACTTAGGCTGATTCCATGACTTTGCTATTGTGAATAGTGCTGCAATCAACCTATGAGTGCAGTTGCTTTTTTTTGGGCTAATGATTTCTATTCCTTTGGGTAGATACTCAGTAGTGGGATTGCTAGATTGAATGGTAGTTCTATTTTGAGCCCTTTGAGGAATTTTCACACTATTTCAGGAAGGCTTCTTGAGCTTGATCTTGAAGAATGGGTGGAGAAGGAGGCAGAGAAAATTAATACAAGAAGAATCTGAGAGGTGGGAGAGCCCAGCAGACTTTATTAACAGACATTCATATAGCAGTCACTACAGAGCAAGAAGCATTCTAACATAGGGGTTAGCAAACTATGGCCTGCAGGGCAAATCTAGCTCACTATCTGATGTTGTAAATAAAGTTTTATTGGCATATGTGTTTACATATTGCCTATGGCTGGTTTGTTGCTACAAAGATTGAAGTGAGAGGTCATGACAGACTGTGTAGCCTACAGTGCCTTAGAGTATTTACTATCTGGCTCTTTACAGAAAAAGTTTGCCATCCCTGTTATAAGATCTTTAAAAACATGGACTTATTTAATTTTCTTGACAACCATATTGGAAAGTTATTGTTATTGTGCCCACTTTATAGATGAGGAAACAGGCTCAGAGAGATCAAATATGCCTAAGACCAGGCAGTGAGGAAGTAGGAGATGAGACGTGAACGCAGGCAGTGGACCCACAGAGTCTGTGTTCTGGCCACTGTGCTGTCCCAAGAGCAGGCCCTTGGAAGGAAGGCTAAGCTGAGAAGATTTTGGGTGCTGGTCTTCACTTCCTTGACCTGGACAGGTTTGTGATCAGTGCAGTGGTGTCTCAAAACTTTTGGTTATCGCAATAATGTGGTTATTCAGGAACCAGCCTGCCTAATGGGGATGCTCAGTCTCTAACTGTCTCTCTCAAATGCTAGACAGTTCTTGAGGCAACACCTACATGCTGTTAGCCAGGCACTGCTCACAAGCGTTTTTCCATAAAGATTTCCTGTTTTAGCTTATTAGTCAGTGTTTGTACAGTTGCCGCGTGCTGCGGTCTGTCCTAGCTGCCTGCTGTAGATCACAAATGCTTGGGAGGCCTGGATTGTGTCTTTCTCTGTGTGTTGTCCCCAGGGAGAATGGCTTCTCATTAGGTCAGAGGATTCTGGGGCCACGTTCCCATCGAGAAGGAGCTGTCAAAATGCCCGTGTCCAGAGGTGCTTCGACAAGAGCAGAGATGATGTGCAGGAGGGGCTGGTGATTGCGGCAGAGGCTGTCAGTACCCTGCCCATGCCCCCAGCCCACTCTATTCCTATCCCACTCAAATGCCCCTACTGCCAGTGCCTTCCCTCCCCTTGCCAGTGTGAGCAAAGACACCTGGAAGTGCCTGGAATGTATACTGCCAGGTGTAGCCTTTGCCAATGTTAGACCCTGATGGAAGTATAACTACCTCAGATTCCACCCATTGGATGGCACAGCTCTGAGGCATGTGCTATCCAAGTGCTGCCCCTGTGACTTTCTGCAGTGATGGAAACGTTCTTCATGTGTGCTGTCCACTATGATAGCCACAAGCCATCTGTGGTTATTGAGCTTTTGGAATGTGGCTAGGGGACTGAGGAACTAAGTTTTTCAGTTCAAGTAATTTAAATGTAGATAGCGCAACGTGGCTGGTGCCTTCCTTGTTGAACAGGGTGGTTCTCCCCCATCTCCCGGAGGTCCCCAGTGGGACTGAGCCTTAGTTGCCTGCAGCAGTGTCCTGACCATTAACAAACCCTGCCCTTTCACCTTCCCATTTTATTTCCCCAGTCCCTGACTGGTTCTCCCTGGGATCACTACCCAAATGAACTATTCACGTGAGCCATGTGAAACTGACATTTTAAAAAAATGGTTGAGTGTCAGTATTTTCAAATGATTAAGTTTGCACTGAAATCTCTACCAGGCATCTGTGTCTGGGGAACCCCACCATAACAGGGTGTTGAGATTTGTGTTTGTTCATGTGTGTAAGTTGAAGTCTTTCCCTGTCCAGGTGAGATTCTAATCCCAGCTCTGCGTCCAAGTGGCTGTGTGGCCTTGGAACCTCTCTGTGCCTTGGTCCTCAGGGAGGAGGATCTGCCTGTACCCCTGGGCTTGGTGCCTGCTCTATCTTTAGCATGGCTGGAAGGAACAAAGGAGCTCATAGATAGGGCTATTTGTTAAAAAGGAGCCAGCACAGTGAGGAGGTAAGGTGTTCTCCTGCGTGGGGCATTCTAGGGCACAGTGCCCTGGCTGCATTCTCCCTGGGTGGAGGATGCCTGCTCATGGCTGACGGAATTCAGACAGTGTGTTTCTTTGATGCCATAGGACTGGCTTTCCTGCTGCCCCACTTTGTATAATCGGGTCTTTTTGGCAGGGAGGATTTAGTAGCTAGCACGATCTCCCAAGTAGGAACTCTAGGAACATTCACTCAGGCTGCTGTTTGATCTGAGCAAGAGCATGATTTGATGGGAGGCTGCTCAGGGCCTTACATTTGTTTCCCTCATTTACAAAAAGGCAGTAAACAGTTGAACTACATTGTGATTGTGAGGCTTTTCATATTTCACTTTTTTTCCTGGAACGGAACCAGACAGGATGGGGGCACTGCCCTTGCAGGCAACGTGGGTTCTCCCAGCCCCTCCATCTGCTTGACCTTCTTAGGGATTTGTGAATTCAGCTCTGATTGGCCTTTCCAAGAAGCCACCAGGCTCCCAAGGTCCCCGTGCTGGAGGTACACTGATCCCACCAGGGACCCCAGAGGAAACCCAGAGTTCATGCTAAAATATCTAGTAGAAGGAGTTCATATGGGGAACTAGTTGTAAATGTGTCCGAGGAGATTAAACGCCAAGCAAAAAATGGAGAGGCGGCCCAGAGAAGAGCAATGGCAGGAAGCTACCAGCATCCCTCTGGCTAGAGTGGGAAGGGAGGAGCTGGTTTTCTAGAACTTAGGATCTAGCAGCACCTGTTGGATGCTGGAGCTATAGAAGGCCTGCTGTGCTGGGCAGGACCACAGAGGAAAGGGCTCTGGGGAGGGCAGGACACCTAGAGGTCATAGATGTAATGATGGATATGTTCTGTATCTGAGATGCCACTAAATACAGAGAGAAGGAGAAACGTCCTAGTTTCTGCCTGCCCCCCACCCTGCAAAATTCTGCCTGAATTTCTGATGAATAGAACAGACTTCCCTAGGAGAAAGAGCGAGGGAGCCTGGGGAGTGTAGTCCACAGTCCACAGAGGAGGGGTAAAGACTGGGTGTCAGAGCAAGCAGGCCAATGACCAGCAGGGCTGGGGCACTGAATGAGCTTCAAGGGGTCCTTACCCTTCTAGGAACTGCAGGCATATTTTGTCTCTATGTAAGCACATGCATTTCTCCAGAAAAAAAGTTGGTGTCTTCAGATTATCAAGTGGGTCTGTGCCGCCAAAGGATTCAGCAAAATCCATAACCAATAATCCAACCACCTTATCTTAAACATGGGGAGTCTGAGGGCTCAGAGAAACACCCATAGTAAGATCTCTATACCCTTGGTCTGGGGTCCTAATGGCTATTGTCCTTCAACTGTCCTGGAAGGGCCAGCCTGTTGGGAAAGTCCCCTATCTCTTCTCTGCCTCTCCAGAGTCAACTGTGTCTCATCTTTCCGGGCAGCTTTCCTTGATCTTGAGCACACAGACCTGCTCCCATAGTGCAGGTCTGCACTTCTGCAGCCCAGGGAAACCATACCATGGATGTGGATCCTGGTCTAGATGCGCCACATAGCGCTCGATGCAGGCAGAGCTGGCACTGGAAAGGGAACCGAGTCTCCTCCATGCAGCCGCCCTCCTTCGGCAAACATTTGCCTTGCTCATGCCATATGCCAGACGTTTTGCTAACTGCTGGGGATACGGCACTGATCAAGATAGATGATGTGCCCGCCGTCATGGAGGTGGAAGTGGAAACAGAAAACAAACCAGAGAACAAATGCAGCAACCAGATCATTTCTGATTATGATAAGTGCGGAGATGATAATAGAGCAGGGTGCCGGGAGAGAGCGATGCGCGTGGAGTCTGGGGGCTACTTTTGATGGGGGAAGGTTTCTCTCTGGAGGTCCTGTGTAAGCTGAGATGAGAAGGATGAGAAGCAGCTTTCCAAGATCTCCAGAGAAAGTATGCCAGATGGGGGACAACAGCCAGTGCAAAGTCCCTGGGGTGGGAATGAGTAGAGGAAGAAGAATCCATGCCTGTGTGGTCAAAGGCAAATCCTGCCTCAAAGTCTTGGACTCTTGTGACTGCTCCTGTCATGCCTCCCTCAGACTCTCCTTGCCTCTGTGGGTGAATGGGTGGCAAAGAGTGCCTTCCTTAGCTGTGCTCCTGTGTCAGCATGGTGCCTGGCAGGTGGCTGGAAACCACAGCTGATTTTTTGCAGTGTCTTTGAGATGCCAGGAAGATGGCCAATCATTTCTGTTCAGTCCATCAGCCACACAAAAGCCCTGAGATCAGAAAGCATGGGCTTAATTTGTTTTGTTTATTTTGCAGAGGAAATAGTGCTTCCTTGGACTGAAAGCTCTGAAGAATAAAAGCTGAATGGAAAGGGGGCATTTGGATTAAATGAATGGGCTGGCCAGCTCTGACCCAGTTTCCACCCAGTGCAGCAGTGATGCGGGAGGGAATTGCCTTCTGGCTTTCTGCTCTGGCCCCGGGGCTGGTCATTTCACGGGGCTGAGCCTTCTGTGTGAGTCGGGCTTGACAGAAGTGTCCTTGAAGGTGATTCATGGAGAGAAGAGGAGGGGAGCCGGGAATAGTGGCCTCAAGGCCTGCCTGAGTTCATCCTCAGATCCTTCAGGTGAAGCTCACCTACATTTCATGGGAACCCATCAAATGTGAATGAACTGGGAGAAGGAAATCACTGAGTCTCAGATGGCAAAGGAGCACTCAAATTAGGAAATTCTGAGGAAGCCTAGAATGGGCTGGTCAGGGAGGGCAGGGGACAGTCCCACTCATCACTGTTACCAGGCTGGACCTGTGATTGCTGTGAGCGAGACTTAGCCAGGAGAGGCTTGGGTCTAGGAGTCCTGGGTTCGAGTTCCATTAACGATTTGACCCTGAGCTGGACTTAGTCTTTTTTTTTTAGAAGCCTCAGCCTCTTTACCTTTCAAGTGGAAGTGAGGATACCTGCCCATGCTATCCCTTGGGCTTGGTGTGAGAGCTTGGTTCTGAAGGTTGGAAAGTGTTGCCAAGCACATGGTTAGGCACTCAGTAAATATCTGTTTGCTTAAATGAAAGAATGCATGAATAACTGAACGAGATCAAAGCTGATATATTATTCTGGAACTTTATGACTATAGGGAATGAAGATTAATATGGCAGTGATAGGGAGGAAGTGAAAGCCAACTGCCACAGGGTCCTGTGGTGGGGTCTGTCATCCTAGTGGCCTGGACAACTAGGTGCCCTCATTTCAGAAAGATCAGTGGTGCAGACAGATTGCAGTTTATCCAGTTCACATAGGATGGATGCCTTGGTCCGCAACCCTACCATACTTGGGCCCAATTTTGGATTTCTCGGTCTTCTAGATTGTTTTAGACAGCAGTCCATATGAAGGCCTTAAGAGAGAGCCCAAGAGTGATGGAGGGGTCTGCAACCGTAGTGTTTTGAGTATGCTCCACTAATTAAATATTGAATTGTGAATTGCCAAGTAAAGAAGGAAAATATAAGGGCACCAGAAGAAGAGAGAATGTTCGTATATGGTGATCACTGACCAACTCTGGGTTTAACAGACAGAACTTTATGAATGAGGAATGAAGAGTCATCTAACTTAGGGTAGAGGGAAAGAGGTTCAGGAAGGCTAAAACACAAAACTGGTGAAAACTGCTAAAGACAGCCACAAACCTTTGTAAAATTATAGGCAGAGAACTGAAAGGTGAACGAGATGGGAGAGTATCACTGCTTGGGAAATGTGACACAGTTAGCAAACAGAAAAACAAACTAGAAAGTGAGCATTTCTGTTTTATTTATTTTTCTCTGTTATCTCCATCTAGGATTGCTGTCTTTAGAATGAAAAAGAGCCAATCTCTTGCAGGCACTTTGAAATGCATTTCTTAGGACCAGATGGGTTCTATGGCTGGGTCCTGAAATACACTGTAGATGTGATTGCAGAATTGAGAAGTCTTTTGATTGACTTTTTTTTTTCTTTTTCAATATGGGTTCAATTTTTCTGCTTCTTTGAATGCCTGTAGTTTTTTATTGGATGCCAGACATTGTGAATTTTATCTCATTGGTTGCTGGATATCTTAGTACTCCCACAAAACATTCTTGAGCTTATTTTCTAGGACATGATTAAGTTGTATGGAAACAGTTTGATCTTTTTTGGGGTCTTGCCTTTGAGCTTTATTAGATGGGATCAGAGCTTCCTTAATCTAGGGCTAATTTTTTCCCCATGACAGAGACGTTGCTATTCTGAGTACTCTACCAGGTGCTTCATGAACTTGAGATTTCCACTCTGGTTGGTGGGAATGTAAACTGTTCCCAGCCCTGTATGAGCTTTGAGAAGTGTTCTGTCTGCTCCTTTAGGGTATTTCTCTCCCCAGCCTTGGATAGCTTTCACACATGCCTGTGTCAGCCAGTACTCAGGGGGTCCCTCTGGTGATCTCAAGTGTTCACTGGGCAGCTCTTTCCTTTCTGGTGCCATGGCCTGTGAATTCCAGCCTCCTTGGCCTCCCTGGAATCCAAACTTCATCTCCTCAACTCAGGGAGACATCTTGGCCCTGCCGGAGTCTCCCTTCTTTCTGCTGTGGCTTGGACATTCTCTTGACAGAAGTTGAGAGGGCTCACTTGGTTTCTCCTCTCTCAGGGATTGCTGTCCTTCCCTGACTACTGAGTTCCAGTGTCTGAAAATCCTTTTGTTGTCTCAAATGTCTTGTCTGAATTTTTAGTTGTTTCGGGTGGGAGGAGAGATCTAGTCCATGCTACTTTCTTTGGAGAATCTTTGAATGGTGAGATAAGATTTTTTTTTTTTTTTTTTTAATCTAGCATTCTGGAATTTCTTGTACTTGTTAGAATTTCTCAGTGGGTGTTAGAAGATGGATTCTGGAATCTGTATTCTAATGATGTCGTGGCTTATCTCTGGAAACAACCTTGATTGGATTGGGATTGTTAAACTGAGTGCTTAGGAGCTCTTAAAGAGGCAAACGCTGGTCACAGGGGCCAAACTAGAGGCTGGAATCCCCAATTATCAAGGGCCTGAAGTTAACCTGGAAGGTTTCCTTTACCACAACTTAATCTAAGAGACATGATAATGAGTGTTAACTGGATACCAGGCTTGCCTTTGCAGTACGTTCTGTCCTTATAGCAACCCTGTCATATAGGTGCCCCCATCCCTGTTTTCCAGATGAGATGAAGGAACTTTCCCAAATTTAGGATCTGAATTCACATCTTCCCACCCTTAATTGAGATGCTGCATTGTACAGCATCTTTCTCAGCATCTTGGTTAGGGAGGATCCGAGAGTTGGAACTTAAATATGAATCGGTAAAACAAAAACAGCGAATCAGACACAATATGAAGGATCCCTCCTGTCCCTGAATTGAGATAAGAAAACATCATCAGAAGCAGATGGAGGTTAAGTACGTATTCCTGGAAAAGGCCGCATTTTTAGAAGGGTATTTAGAGATTATTCAGTCCTCAACTTACAGCTGTGATTGACAGAAGCCAAGTGGCCAGCAGCTCTTGAGGTGGTGTCATTTTCATGGGCAGACAGAAACTTCCCTAACAGGATTTTCCCTGAAACCCCTGTTGTTTGAAAGGAATTTTTTTTTGCACATTTATAAAGTGTATAATTACTATCCCGGTAGCTAGATACAACCTGGCCAATTATAAACAAATCATCACCTCGCCTCCTCATCACCACCCAAATGTCTTTCATGCTCCAATTTAATTAACACACTTACTTTATTCTCTAATAAACTTTTGCAAAAGTTAACCCTGCCTCCCCTACTCCATCTAGCAAAGAATGCTGGTTGGATGTCAGCCATGTTTTGGGCCCCCACCTGACTCTCCCTGTCAAATATAACTCAGATGTGATCATCTCCCCCATCTAGGGTCTCACATGAGGACATGCGGTCTGGGACATGACCAGGAGGCATGGCCAGTCTTACTGCCTGGATTGCCGTCAGGGTTGTAGCAGGCGAGAAGATCAGAGAATGAGAACTTCCTTCTGGTGGGAGCGTGGGAAAAAGGGCAGGGTCTTGTTGAATTTTGTTAAAAAGCACTTTGCCCTCTGCCCTCTTGGAATGCCATCTCATGTCTAAAGTGGCCAAGATCATTAAGTAAATACAGGATCTGTGCTTTTATATTCACTGCTATTAGCAAAGTTTGCAGGAGGAAAGAGACATTGAGTGGGGAGTTTAATCAAAGCCAGAGGTGTTCCACAGGAAAATACTTGTTAGGCCTAGTTTCCTGTGGTGAAAGTCTTATAAATTTCAAATACATTTTGTGACTCTCCACACACTTTTGTTTCTTGCAGGTTTGTAATTGAGATACATGCCTTGGGGAGAAAAAACTTTCAGGCACCCAGGTCCTTGGAAACACAGATGCCCTGATATGACTGTAGCCGGCAGCCTTGCCCATAAAGCAGGTAGGGCAGGTGCTCAAACATGTGGCTCACATGTTACATAGACTGTCTACTTCTGGGCAGGGGCACACTTGGCCTGTATTTGGATGTACCTAGACTTCAAATCCAGTTTGTGCATTACCTCTTTTGGAAGCTGTCCTTGCATCCTAGGCTGGAAGTGAGCTCCTGTCCTCTGAACTTCAACTGCCCTATATCCATACTGCTGTGGTCCTATATCCGTAGGGCTCTGGTCACTTTCTGCCTGGGATTTGAGTTGGTACGTGCATGCCTTCTCACCTGCTCACCTGGATTGCACTCTCTTTTGAAGACAGGGTCCAGGTCAAAGTCATCTTTGTGACCCCTGAAGGGCATTGCACATATCAGATGTGACCTCTTGCTGGTAGTCAGATCAGCTTTAGGGGTGCAGGGTTCCTCTTTTTATCTGCCTGATAGGCTCTGTCTAGTGTATTGCTCAGGGTGACATGGAGATTCTCCCCGTGTTTAATTCTGGGATGCCACTGGTCAGGGTCCCTTGTATCTCAGGGATCTAGGGCTGAGGACTGTGGCTTCAGATGAACCTCTTGGCTAAGCCAGTAGGGTTTAGGTCTTGTATTAGTCTGTTCTCATGCTTCTAATAAAGACATACTCGAGACTGGGTAGTTTACAAAGAAAGGGAAAGCAGTCTAATGGACTCACAGTTCCACCTGGCTGGGGAGGCCTCACGATCATGGCAGCAGGTAAATGAGGAGCAAAGTCACGTTTTACATGGCAGCAGGCAAGAGGGTATGTGCAGGGGAACTCCCCTTTGTGAAACCATCAGTTCTCATGAAACTTATTTACTATGTAAGAACAGCATGGGAAAGATCTGCCCCCATCATTCAGTTACTTCCTACTGGGTCCCTCCTATAACACATGGGGATTATTACAATTCAAGGTGAGATTTGGGTGGAGACATAGAGTCAAACCTTATCAGGTCGACTCTTTTGGTAACCTCTTGCAATGAGTCTCATGGGGCCCTTCTATCCCCTGTGCTCATGATAGTATGACTCTTTGAGTGGGTCTGAGGCAGGACATGACTGGTGGTGAAACCCAAACTCTTATTAGAGAAAGTACATCCTCTTACTAATGATATACCCTAAAGTTTTTAAAAGGAGGCTTTTTATAATAATAAAATTATGTGTTTATGGTAGAAAACTTGGCAAATACAGAAAAATTGTAAAGAGAATGCAGTGTCT